ATCTAACTAGTTATATTGTTCAATTGTCAAATTGTATGCTAGTTAGGATGTATGATTTGGAAATCAAATTGTATGTATAATTAGAGAAAACTTAGATCCAAAGCATCTAGGGTTTCATGTGCACCATAAGGTTGTTAGAGTGCTCAAAACCCTTCAATTTACACTTTGTAAAAAACCATAACTAAATAATTCAGTGCAAAGTTTTTCATTCCACTTTCTAGGGGTATGTTTTAGTCCATATAATGACTTAACTAATTTACAAACTCTTGTATCTCCTTCTGAATGATAGCCTTGAGGAAGACTCATAAAAACTTCCTCAAACAAATCTCCATAAAGGAAGGAATTATTTATGTCAAGTTGATATAAAGGTCATGATCTATTTAAAGATAAAGATAAAACAACATGAACAATAACAATTTTGGCCACAGGAGAGAAGGTTTCTTGAATGATTATAGCCCTTGGCTACAAGACGAGCCTTGTATCTATCAACCACACCATCAGGTTTGTACTTAATTCTATATACCCACTTACAGCCAATTGGCTTTCTGTTTTTTGGTAAATCAACAATGTCCCAAGTGTGATTTCGATACAAGGCTTCCATTTCTTTATTCATTACCTCTATCCAATTAGGATCAGAAAAAGCTTCCTTAAAATCCTTTGGTTCAACTGTTTTGTTAAGATTAGAAACAAAACATTTATTTTCTTTATTAAGAAAAGAATAATTAGGAGTACGTTCTATACCATATCTATGTCTACCCTCAACTATGTAATCATTAAATTTGACAGACATTCGAGACTCTCTTCCAGAGCTAGACGCCTCTATAGATTGTCCCAAGGAAGGAAAGGAATCTAAATGACTGCTTTCCTCAAAAAAAAAATTTGAAGGTCCTGGCATAGTCTCACCCGATGAAGGCACAGATGCCTCGCTAGTCTGATTGTCACCATGTGTAGTATCAGAAAAGGTTTCACTCAGAGTCTCAGCTGCACTAGAACCATCGATCTGGTGGTTAACACTCAAGTCATCCAAATTAATAACATCATTCATATATTCAGAATTGTTTATATCATCATAGGAAAATGGGTCTACAGAATTATCAAAAACAAATTGTTTGTCAACAGTTATTGACTTCAACTTAAAAGGAAATACAGACTCGTAAAACTTCACATGCCTGGAAACAAAAACAGAATTCGTTTCAAGACTCAGTAATTTGTATCTTTTTTTTCAGAAGAATAACCCAATAAAACACACTTTTCAGCCCTTTCAGGAAACTTATCTTGATTATTAAGTTTGGTAGCAAAGCACAGGCTACCAAATACCCTTAAATGTTCAAACACAGGTGGTTTTTTAAAAACTAGTTCCTAAGGAGACAAGCCTTTTAAAACAGAAATAGGCATTCTATTTATTAAAAAAAAGAAGTAAGAACAGCTTCTCCCTAGTAATTAACAGGAAGAGCAGATTGAAACAACAAAGACCTAGCAACATTTTGTATATGTCTATGTTTCCTTTCAACCACCCCATTTTGTTGTGGTGTATAAACACAAGATGTTTGATGTAAAATTCCATTAAGTTCAAAAAAGACTTCATCTTAAAATTTGAAAACTCAGCTCCTTTATCTGATCGAACAACTTTAATTTTTGAATCAAACTGATTTAACAAAATACTAAAGAAAGAAGTAAAACAATTATAAACTTCATCTTTACTTTTTAATAGATAGACCCAAGTAGCCCTTGTGAAATCATCCACAACGGTCAAAAAATACCTATAGTCTTCCCTAGTAGTTACTCTATAGGGACCCCATACATCCAGATGAACTGACTCTCCAATACTGGAAGAGCTATGAATACTAAGAGGAAAGGGTTCATAAGTTTGCTTAGCCTTGTGACAAACATCACAAGGAGGTAGATCAGTATTAACAAAATTAAGCTTATCTTTAAGACAGTTCAAAGCTTGTTTAGCTGGATGACCCAATCTACTATGCCATGTTAGTTTAGACACAAAACACTTAACAAAATTAGCTTTATAAGAACTAATACATGAGGGAAAAGAATTAAGATAATATAATCCCCCAGTTTCTCTACCATTCTCCACCACCTTCATTGATTGTAAATCCTGAATTTTACACTCATGTTCATTAAAAACAACTTCACAATTTGTGTCTTTGCACAATTTATGTACTGAAAGTAAATTCACATTAAAATCAGGAACATCAAAGACATCAAACAAGGTTAAGTTTCCAGAAAACTGTAAATTTCCAATTTTGTTAATTTTAGCAAAAGATCCATTAGGGTGATTTACAAGAAGATTTAAATTGGAAACATCAACAGTATCATGAAGAAGTGACTCAGCTGAAGTCATATGTTGATTTGCACCTGAGTCAACAACCCATTTTTGGTGGTTAATAGTAGAATTATATGACCTAAAAAGAGGGATACCTACCATATTCGCACTCAGAGAAGTATCCTCAGAGACAGAAGACTTTTCATTAATGAGACTCAACAATTTGTTGTATTTCTCACTTGTGAGATAGTGAGCATTGTTACTCCCAATGACATCTGAAGTAACATTAGAAAAAAAAAGAACTACTAGAAGGAACAGATGAGGAGTTACTAGAAAAGGATTTATTTTGACTCTTCATGTTATCATTACTAGTTTCATTCCCGAATTTAAAATCTTTTGGATAGCTAATTAGTTTATAGCACCTTTCAATAAGGTGTCCCTTAATTCCACAGTTTTTACATTGTAAGTTCTGATTTCTTCCTCTATTTGAGTTATTATTTTTACTCCTTTTATCATTAACTCTACTATTAAATGCAGATGACTGAGTTTGGTGACACTAGAAGAAGAGGAAAGAGCCCCATTCTTTTGATGAAATTCTTCTTTAGAAACAATAGAAAAAGCAGATTTAACATTAGGAAGAGGATCCATCAAAAGTATGTGACTCTTCACTTAATTAAAAGAGTCATCAAGACCACTTAAAAACTGCATTAACTTCATTAGCTTAGAATGATCATTATACTTAGCAGCAGCCTCACAAGTACATTCAACAAGATTTGTAAGACCATCAAATTCCTTCCAGAGAGTATCAAGTTTATTAAAATATTCAGACAATGAAGACCCATTTTGACTAAGAGAATTAATATGTTGATGAACATTAAAAATAATAGATCCATCTGCTTTATTGTAAGTTTCAAACAGTTCATCCCAAATTTCTTTAGCAGATTTAGAATATGCATGACCAGAGTAAATAGACTCTGACAAAGAACCAAGGATCCAGGAAAAAATGACTGCATTGGCACGCTCCCACTTCAAATACTGAAGTTCATCATTGGAATCCTTAGTAACTTTACCTTCAACAAACCCTAACTTATTGCTAGCCTTAAGACTTCTAGTCAAAGAACTACGCCAAACACGGAAATTTTCGGTCCCAGTTAGTTTAAAGTGCACTATTGTAGTAATAGTATTATCTGAAGGATGAAAGAACAAAGTGTCATCGTAGTTCACAGACTCAGTCTTAGAACCACTACCAGATTCAGAACTAGGTGCAGATCCAGTCATGATGCACAAAAAAAGAAACTAACAAAAAAACCACAGAAAGCACATACAATTCTGATTCATATAAGTCCAGATGGTCACCACAATATGTTGGGGCCCAAGACAAGAAACATAGAGTCACAAAAAAATAATCAACAATATAGTAACTGGAATACACAAGACAACCAGAAACTCCCAAAATCTACAGCTAGAACAGAGGAAAAAGGGAACAAGAAAGCTCACAAAGCAATCGAGAGGAAAAGAAAACATATCGACTCTTGTTACTGCATTCCCTACAAGAGTTAACAGTGATGAAATCCGTTCTCAGGAGAGTTATTTTAGAATACAAGATTAGTCGATCTTGTATGATGAAGTTCTTTAACCAAGGATCTCCACTCGTAGACAACCAGTCAAACAAGGATCTCCACTTGACGACAAATCTGCAAGAATACACAGAAACTCGCAGTACCAAGATCTTAAAGAATAAAAAACAACAGAGATCTTTTACGATCGAAAAACTTGATCGTAAAAAACAATCAAACCCTAGACGTTTCACAGATAGGTTCAACAACTAGAGAATCTAACAGAGATCTCTAAGATAACCAGCTATGAAGATCTAAAGGAATTGAATCAACAGAAAACAAAAGATTTGAACTAAAAAATACGAACAGAGAAGAAGTACCTTAAACGAGATGTCGATGATCGTCGGAAACCAAGATCGAAGCCTCACTACTCTGATACCATCTTAAAAAACACACAAACAAATTTTCCCAACATCATCATCTATTATATCATTTGAAGACAAACAAATAGATGGTTTTAATCGTACTTACACAAAAAAACCTCACTACAATAACCCTAATCTACTATCTGTATTTCACTCAACCTAATCTATAAGAAGAACCAAGAACAACAATGAAATAAGAAACCCTAGTTCTATATCGGAAGAGAGAATGAGAGAGAAGAAGTCTAACATAGTTTAAAGAGAAAATGAATCGACGGATACACCTGCAACCATCATCTAATCCTTTAAGTACCCGGATAAATGGATCTCTTCAACCCGCGTGTCAACCCGAACTCAAACAAGAAGAAAATACATTGCAACCCACAAGAATCATCCACAATACACAAACTACCCAAAACTCAATAAATAACAAAATCAACAATAAATTAATTTACTTTTTAAACCTTGCAAAACAATGAATGTTAAGTTTGTACACTAACATATATTTTTAACATTGATCCAGAATTTTAGGTTCTCTCTTACATGACATGTCAATATACCATGAAACAAAGTTCAACTTTTAGAACGACAAGCTCGGATAACTATGACATTGGTAAGCCAAATATAGGACAGCATATATATTATCCATGAAAAATTATAAGATGTGCGAATTTTAAGCATTACATTGTGATGTTCATTTTTCCCAATAACTAGTATATGCTAAGAAGCATTTGAAAAATACATGTTGACGACGCATTCAATAAGATGTGTGTATCGCATGCAAGCCACTTCAATCCCACAAAACGTGGCATGCAAATAGTATAAAAAGCTCTTTACTTGCATCTCTTTCTCTTTCTCTTCCATTTGATCGCACATTGGACGTAACAAAACATCCTGCCATGGCTCTCGCCCGCACTAAGAATCGTCTGTCATCCTCATCATCATCACCAGCACCACCTCCTTCTCCGACGCCACTCAGTGCCAGAGGCAATCGCAGTGATCCAGCTTTCAGCAATTATGTTGACAAGATGAAACACATGCCAGATCTGAATCTTCCGGATTATGTCAACAGATCTGTCATTGCAGATGTTGAATACCGTTTGATTAAAAACAAGGATAGGAATTCCATTAGTGAGATGATGAGATCTGCAAAAAAGTATGGTGTTTTTCGGATTAGTGGGCATGGGATCTCAACGGAGGAGCTACAACAAGCATTCACAGAGGCGGAATTCTGCTTTGGATTGTTGGCTGACCGGTGGAGTCGCGATGGAGATCGAGAGGAATTTCAATGGTCTCGATCCGCCATTGCTGCTGCCGAACGTAGGCGAGACGTTGCGCGAGAGGAGAGATTTCGCAAGTTTAGGTAACATTTTGTTTGTATTTTTGTATAATTTCAATATCTCATTTTTCATACGCATAATTTATATAAATATTATGGTGCTAATCACAAAAAATAATAATATTAGGGGTAAGTATATAATTCAAATGGCAATCTTTTCATAAAAAAAACGTATTTTCTAAAATGGATTTCATGAAAATGTTTTGGTTGTCAAATATAAGCCAATGTTATTTTTAATTATTACGGTGCTAATCACAAAAAATAATAATATTAGAGGGTAAGTTTGGAAGTTTTTTTATTTTATTTTTTGAACGGCATTAAGTTTGGAAGTGAATGAATAATTATCTATATAGACAAAGTGTTGTTAATATTTTACTTAATTAACACTGAATCTAAACTACTTATGATAGTATTATGCATATTAAATTTGATAAAAATTCACAAAATTAAACGAAAGTATTTTAAACATAATTTATACAAAGTACTATCCATTTTGATCAAACTAATTTGTCAAATGATGATCTAATTAAAAAAATTAAAGGTTTAAAGTATAAACAAGTAAAATTCAATTTTGGTCTATATAAAAATTGAAGAACTATAAAACAATAACCAAAAAGAACAAGTATACGATCCTTTATGATACGGCACCAATGGTTTCTGTGATTACTATTTTTTATGGTTCAATGTCAAATACAATGTGTACGAAATTATTTTTTTTAGAACGACAGTGGTGCAACGGAATATTTTCGTGCCATCATGACACCTAGTCACAGAGACTTGAGATCAAAACCTTTCCAAGGAGAATAACCGCCCCCAATCTTTGCACCCAATTTCCCTTTGTGGGACTTCACGCATTAACTAGGGTCCGATCTCAACTACCGCTCTGGGAAAAATCCCCCATATGTGCTCTAACTAGGAGTAGAACCCCAACCTTTATTCATATGGGTATATAACCTGGTACCTCTGTCCGGTTGAACTTGGTTGTCAAAATTATAATTTATGTGTTTGTTTTTTAAATTGATTTTTTAGGGAGGTCAATGTTAAGAAAAAAAAAAGAGATATATCTACAAGGGAAACCTAATTTGTTTCATGGTAAAAAAGGGTAATTAGAAAAATAAATATAAAAGAAAAATTAAATTTTTTTCTATTTTTTATGCCTACAAATGTTCCTACCCAATAAAATTATGACAAATATCATCATTCCATATTTTTTTAACTAACTCATTAAGACTATATTATGAATATATCAAATAAAATAAAATTGAATGATTATTTGTTATAATTTTAGTGGGTACGTAGGAATAATTGTAGGCATAAAATATATGAGATAATTTAATTTCTCTATATAAAATCATCATTTAACGTTAAAACATAAATTTTCTAAGTTAAACACTTTGTTCACATTAAGATTTTAAGCATTAACTACATTAAATTAAAAAGAAACACCACCCAAATATGAAATATCTAATTGATGCGTCCCACGCACACATACTAGGTGCTATGTTCCTTGGTGCACCTTTTGCCCATCATTTAAGAAAACCATAATCGGATTTTAATTTGATTTTGATATATAAGATTAGTTTTGATTATTACAAAAAGATGTAAGAGATATTGAACTACTAACGAACTATTTTGAATGAATGTATGTACATTAAGTTTTGTTATATAATCCATTTGCAGCCAAAAGATGGACAATATTGCAAGTAAACTTGAAGTAATTGCAGATGCTGCTGCCACGATTGTAGGAAGCTATGGAAGCAAACATTCTCGAAAGAAAATCAAGGAAAATGAAACAAGAATGACATTGTTCAAGCATAATAACTCGGCTCTTCAACCTCATACCCCACGATCTTCCCACACTCCGCGTGCAGCTGCTGATGGGAAAACAGAATCATGTTCGTTTGCTTTAGGCCTTCATATCCCAACCGAGCAAGGTGAATTTTGCCTCTTAACCAGTGAAGGCCCATTGTCATTTAGAACTAGCCCCGACACTATTATCTTCACCTTTGGAGAACAACTACAGGTAATTTTTCAACTTTGTATACGTTTTTTCTGTTTAGTTTTTGAAAGTGCTTATTATAACTAAAAACCATTTTTTACCACTGGTTTAACCTAAAAAACATCATATGCTCGCTTTTCTTTTTAATGACGTTAATGTGCATACCAACCATAGCTTTGTGTAGTTATTTTAATATTTTATCAATTTATTATGTTTTCTTACCACATAAGTTGATATGCACATTTACACTAGAAAACATAAGCTCATTTTAAATAAGTAATCCCAAACACCCCCCCTAAACGATTTTTCAGAAGATGGAACAAAACTGATTTCAAGAAGCAAAGTCCTACATAGATTATTGTTATCGATCAAATTTTGATAATCTAAACGCTTGTAAAAATGTGTAAAATAGAATCTTTCACCTTTAGATTATATCAAGTAATAATAAGAGTTTGATTCCACTACTTAAATGATTGCTATTGAAGATATAGGAGTATTATATATTATCCAATTGGAGTAATTTTTAAATTATAATGGTTATTTGATATTATTAAAAGAAGTTATTTTAATCCACAACAAATTATTTAACTAAATGCTCTTTAATAATAAACCAAAAGTCTTTGGTCTAGCGGTATAGAGTAGTTTTCATTTTGAGGGGTCATGGGTTCAAGTTTCGCTTGAGACATAGGAGGTGATAGTTAGGAGTAGATTAGTTTGTCGTTTAAAAAAAGATGCTCTTTAATAAGAAAAGGAAATAAAAAATAATTGATAATAAAATAGACATAAAGAAAACCCAAAAGAAAAATTAAACCTCTACTCTAAAAATTACTTTTAAATTTCATAACACAAATATAACCAAAATCCAAAAATATCCTTAAATACTGGCCCAATTATCCTTCCAAATTATAACTAACAAAGAAACCCATTAATGGCCCACAATTGGCCGGTGAAAAAGATCCTATTGTATGTACAAGTAGCTATCACTATGACTTGAAGAGATTACGAAATCTCGTTGGTATTTCGTGCATTATCCTTCGTACTTCGAAAAAGAATCTACCTTGATAATTGTTTAGCTTCATTCTTAATCTTACTAACCATGAATTAATCATTGCCATTAATGACTTGAAAAGATTACAAAATTTGTTATGAGTTTGGTCTCTTAAAACGATTATCAAAGTCTACATGCTCACCTCGAAGGTTTTTTGTCTCCATTCCTTTGTCTTACCCATCTAAGAAAAGTTGTACATAAGGGCCCCAGGGATGAGTGTCTAATGGGTTGCATTTGTCGTATTCTTCTTCCAAATTAGAATGGGAATTGGTTCCCTTAGGAGTTGGCTCAATTCGAGCTTACACCTCATTGCATTAGCCTTTTGGTATCCTAATAAGTCCCTTTACATTGATCACATGTGAGCCTCGAGTGACAACTATATTAATCTTCCACGGTCAGCTATCCCAACTGTATTTTGTTTTCAAATTAAGTATAAATTATAGAATTGAAATAGGTAAAGATGATATGAACGTTCAATAATACACTACAAAGACTAATATTTGGTAAACATATTAATACCTAATTCTAATTCTAATCAAAGCATTTAACTTAAAACTCAATATAAACTAAATAGTCGAAAAAACAGTTAACCTTTTAAAATATTATGAACCTAATATAAATCACAAGGAAAAAATATAAATAATGGAATTAAATGCACCTAAAATTACCACTTAAATAAGGGAAGAAATATGTAGAGTTTATAATTAGATCATATGTCTTTTTTATCTCAAAACTTAATGCATGATAACCCACTAGAGTAGCTTCATGTACTTAGACTATGAAAAGTAACCTACGCTAAGGTCCTCAAAGTCTTCACCACGCCTAGCATTTCATACTATTTACAGTTACAGTTGACAGTTACAGTTGAGTCTAGCTATTTGGACCTTTTTTATTTTCTTAAAAGACCCTTAATAATTATTTTAATTTTTTTCCTAAAATAAGCTAATCATTACAAAATAATTATCTTTTTATTAATTATCATTACATAATATTAGACCCTCATGATTATTTAATATTTTACTTTAAATAAAACTAATCATTACATAATAAAAGGGTTCAATATAAAGATTTGTTTATAGAAAAAAAGAATATCATTTTTATAAAAAAGTATTAAAATAAAAATATATTTATTTTTTTTCAAATATATAAAATAAAATATTTTAAAAAAAATTTAAATTTTTTTTCGGTTTTTTAGTGCAATTTATTAAAATCATTTTTATATGAAAGCATTATAATATGTGACTTCAAATACGATATAATAATAATAATACTTAGTTTTCATTTAAATATTTAATATCATTTTATTTTTATTTTTTGGTTTATATAAATATTAAAATATAGAAAATATTAAAATATATAGAAAACGTTGACATCTTGTATTATTATTTGATTATAAAAGAATATAATAAATAATAAATAAAAAGTTTATAGGAATTAAATGATAGGTACGAGTTTCAAAAAAAAAATTAACTTTTAGTAATCATACAAGCTATTGATATTATAAATGCACGGAAATTTATAACTAAAAAATCATTAATGAGGGGTCCTCTAAGAAAATTGGGGTCCAATTAGTAGGACCCTTTACAGTTTTTATTTGAAATATCCAAATATATATATATATATATATATATATATAGATATATATATATATATATATTATATATATATTCTAATAAATGTAAAACACTAAGTGCCAAATACCATCTTTCCAAAGTATGATTCTAATGATGTCATGCGACATTTTTAGAAATTCATTGACATTTAATACATAAAAAAATATAAATATTAATATTCATATTTTGAATTTTAAAAGCAAGAAATCATTAATCATTACCTTTTATATACTTTATCTCTTATAAATAAATATAATATTGTCGTTCTTTTTGTATCTCAAATGTCGTCCACCTTGAGTAAAAAAAAGTTCACATATTTTCAGCCATTAACCTCAAAGTTATAACTTAAGTCCTTAAAATATTGATCTCTTGCTGCATGTGGAAGACATAATTCTATGTAAACCATACAAAACAATCCTTGAAATAATTAATTATTTTTTAGATCTATAGGATGTATATACTTTTTTTCCTTTCATCAAAATATAATTTTTTTTAGATCATATTACATATTTTGAATTTTAAAAGCCAAAATTATGATTTAAATTTTGAAATCATTAATCATTACCTTTTATACACTTTATCTTTTATAAATAAATATAAATTTGTGTTTCTTTTTGTATCTCAAATGTTGTTCACCTTGAGCAAAAAAAAGTTTACATATTTTGAGCCACTAAGATCATCTACATCGGGTCTTTCAAGTAAAATTTGCAATGCCACTGAACAATAATTTAATGTCACTTAGGACTTCATTTTGCTATATATGAAAGGCTTGCAAATACTTTTATAGTGGCCCACTGGTTTCTCTTTCTAAAAATGGATGAATAATGATGGACTGTCTACCATTTGCAAGACCTTAACATGGCACCGGTGTGGGTGCTCTAACTCTAAAATTACAACTTAAGTTCTTGATGTATTGATCTCTTGCTACATTTGGAAGACATAATTCTATGCAAATCATACAAAAAAACTATTGAAGTAACTAATTATTCTTTAGATCTATAGGATGCATATTTTTTTTTCCTTTGATATAAAGATAATAACTTTTTTTTTATTTAGATCATATTATCTTACAGTCATCTTAACCATTTTCTATTAAAAAAATAAAAAACAAAATAAAATTATGAATAATTCAGGACTCATTTATTAAAATATAATGTTATCCTATATTGACAATCATACTTTAGTAGAGTTTAGTATTGAGTTTTTAAAATTTTCTTATTTTAACAATGTACTTTCATTGACTATCTTATAAATCTGTGGTTTCCATGGGTTTCTGACCTAATATATATATATATATATATATATATATATATATATATATATATATATATTAGTTGTGAGACTCATTTATTACATGAGTTAATTTAAAAAAAAATATGAAGGTCTAAATAATTGAGAATTTTGAATTTATAAGAAAATAAGAAAACTAATGAATTATTAAAATTGAAATGTTTTTTATCTTTTAAATTTAAACAAATAATTTAAATAAATAAACAAAAGAAACCAATAAACTTTAATTTAAAAATTTTGAAATTAGAAGGTAAGCTCATTAATGAAATTGATATCAATTCATTACTATATTTATTGCAATTATAACATTAAAATATTATATGGAATTTAATAAAATATGAAAACCCATAAAATGACATGTGGAAAAAAAATTAATTAAAAATTACCACAAATTGACATTTGTCAAATTGAAGGAGAGCATCTCAATTGCCAAAAAATTCTTTATTTATTAGGGAGGATATATATATATATATATATATATATATATATATATATATATATATATATAAAGATAGAGAAAGAGAGACATAGAGAGAGAGAGGAATGAGACTGATTGTTTTTATTCTAATGTTATTAGTTTAATGTAATTATAGTGTGAAATTTAAAATTTGAAATTTGAAATTAATAGTCAATTATTAATTTAATGTAATTAGAGTGGAAAATTTAATATTTAAAATTTGAAATGGAGAATTAATAGGTTGACATGTGGCATGATAGATGGTATATAGTATTAACTGGTTGTGAGACTCATGTATTAAATGAGTTAATTTAAAAAAAAAGTTAAATATGAAGGTCTAAATAATTGAGAACTTTGAATTTATAAGAAAAAAAAATAATAAATTATTAAAATTGACATATTTTTTATCTTTTAAATTTAAACAAATAATTTAAATAAATAAACAAAAGAAACTAATAAACTTTAATTTAAAAACTTTGAAATTAGAAGGTAAGTTCATTAATGAAATTGATATCCATTTATTACTATATTTATTTCAATTATTACATTAAAATATTATATGGAATTTAATAAAATAGGAAAACCCATAAAATGACATGTGGAAAAAAAATTAATTTAAAATTACCACAAATTGACATTTGTCAAATTGAAGGAGAGCATGCCATGTGGCAAAAAAGTTCTTTATTTATTAGGGAGGATGAAGATTTCTAATATTATGACACTTGTCAATAGAAGAATAAACTTATTCATTTTTTAGAATAATAAGGGGAGGATATTTTATCAGGTTTTAAATTTATAAACCCTAATTTAAGTTAACTACATAATAACACACTAACAACCAGTAAACCTGATCGAGTATAATATAACTTTGATAAGTAAGGGTATCGATCACATGGAGAATGAAAATTCAATTCAAATATATTTAAATGCTAATTAAACTATAAACAATAAAATGGGGGGTTTATTAAACTTAATTAAAACTTACAAAACTAAAGAATTTATTTGGAAACAAAAGATCTAAAGACTTTTTCTCATAAATTTCGACTTGACCTTCAAATATAGTGGATTCTAATTGAGTTCAATGAGTAGTAGTTAACATTTACCGATTTCTAATGTATTAGTTATTTTGATCCGATTAACTAGATTGTATAATTATAAAGACAATTAACACATTGTTCATGCAATTAGCTATCTATCTAAGCAATTATAATTAAGTTCGTATTATGAGGGACTTGATCTACGAATTAACTTCAATGATCATGAGAGTCGATTATTAGCATAAGTTGTTCACAAACGCTTTCTTACACATTAAAGTTCATGATTTACTACCTAACCCTAGGTTTTGGTCAAAACACTAGTCATAATTATTTAATGGTCATAATACAACTATGAAACAAGCTAATGAAACTACATTGATAGTCTAAGTTCTACTAACTTTAACAATAAGTAATAAAAATCAAAACTTTAACACATTAGGATTTTGATCAAACATAATATATTAAATAAAACCCAATATTCATACAATAGAATCACACCAAATCTTTAAGTTACATCTAATATAGTGAAAACGTTAGGATTTTACCCTATAATCGATAAACAAAAATAGAAAAACATTAGAAATGATCTACTAAACATGATTATTAAGCAAACCGACTCGATATTCTAACGCTTATCGCTTCGATTCTTCAAATCTTCTCTCCAAGTTGCATCGACATCTTCAAAATCGACCCACAAGGATTTCTGGACGATTAGAATACCTTCTGACCTTTTGGGAGAAGTCTCCATGGGTTGCACACTAGATTGGGGTTGTAAAAACACATATTTATAGTGTTTTAGGTCGGTGTAATTTCACGACGCTAAGGATAAAGGTTCGCGACACTAAACCTTATCCGGTCGCAATTTTTTCGATGCCAAAATCTTTTTCAAAAAAATTTTGATTTTCTGAAGGGGCAGCGCATCCTAAGTATTTTTCATCGTTTTTTTTTTCATTTTTAGTCTTTTTCAGCTCCAGATTCTTCCTTTTGCTCCAAGCCATGAATTTTCCTATGTTTATGAATACAAAGCATTTTAAGTATCTTATATCTTTAATTATACAAATTAAGCTCTAAATATTAGAATAATTACCCTAAAATGTATGACTATATTGGGCAATATCAAGTGGGCTTGTAAATAAGTATATAACCCATAATAACCATACCATGGATAACAATGACACGTAACAATTTTAAGTGGTTCCTAAACGGTTGAGAATAGTATTGTGGATGTCATGTTGATGGACAATTGACATTGTCAGCAACTTGAGCTCACTTATTAAGTTGTTGAAGATCAGGTGCATGTTGACAAAACTGACCAAAATCAACCTCATGATGACCATAGTCAACCCTAAGTTGACCAAACTGATTACCACTGCACTTGCAGTACAAATATCTTCATGATCATTATATACTAATACAATTATGTACTCAACATCATCTAACTTACATTTTATGATAGAAGATCCCATTTCGCATGCATATAAATTCCAATTATTAAAAATATCCTGTGACTCTATAATCACCAATATCATCCCTTACTTTTATCTATGACCTGAAGTTGTACAATAAAATAAAATAAAATAACCAAAATCTAGTCCTTAAAATCACCTCCCCTATGTTCCTCCCCTCCCGCCCCCTCCCAAAAAAAATGATCTAACACATGCTTTTCTTACTCCTTACCTACCATTGATACAACATTATCACCACCTATCCTTTTCCATATCTTGCTCGATATAAGAATCATTTATCCACTCTTAATGAGGAGTGTTCTCACCCCATGTGATGACATATTTTCCATCTATGTTATCTCCATAAACACGAAAATCCAACCCTCCACCACAGTTGACTTATCTTTATCGAACCATGACTACAAGGAGCATACATGACATCTCAAAACCAAAAAAAAAAACTCTTTAATATTGACACAATTACCACTCCTTCTCTAGTATCATGCGATCCTACATTAATACTTTCTTATCCAAATTGGAAGAATGCCATGTAAGACGGATTTTCTAACATAAGTTTGACTTAGACAACTTTTTTAAACGATACAAAGCTAGACTAGTTGGTGATGCCCATGGTTAACAAATTATAAATTATTGTGACAACTTTTAGTCTAGTTTTAAAACTTGTCACAATCATTATGTTCTTAATATTTCCACTTAATTATCATGTCTCATCCATCAAAATAGATGTAAAAATCTGTTCCAACATACCAACTTAATTGAAACCGTTTATATGTACACACTAATGGGGTTTTTGCCACCCATCATATCTAAATGATGTTTGTTTACTCAAAAAATCTGTATATAGGCCCGAACAAACTCCACAAACATGGCTCCAAAGATTTAAGAATTATTTATCTTCCTTCGGGTTTTACTATATTTAGCATAATCTCTCTTTATTAATTTATTGAAATTTCGTATACATGTAATGAATAAACTAACATAATTTAGGCCCCTTCAATTATTTTTTAGGATATACTATTATTCACCATGATCATGGTCATTTTCTCTCTCACAAGAAGTACACGATGGGAATTTTGGAATGTGTCGAGATGACTATTGCAAATCAAAGCCTACCCTTATCATGGGCGTCCAAACAACAAGCTAAAATCTCTTGCTCCAACACCATAGCCGAATACCACATAGTCACAAACATTGTTTTTGAAAACCTATTGGATATAAAATTTACATCTGAAACTATCTTTAAGGGTTACAAAAGCCACTCTTGTTTGCTATTAAAGTGTCAAAGCATTCTATCTTTTAGGCAATATGATTCAACATCAGAAAAAAACATATTGAAAATGATATATATATATATATATATATATATATATATATATATATATATATATATATATATATATATAAGGATCTTATTTTTAGTTTAGAAGAATTCCTTTTACAAGTCAAGAACTCACTCATAAATATACCTACATTAGTGAGAGAGTCGTCCAAAATATTTCTATAACTAAAAGATACTACCTAAAAACTTTGGGAGACCTTTTACGTATAACTAAAAACTTTTTTGCCTCACTTTTCAAAAAAAATCTAATCAAAAACCCTTTTTGGTCGTAAAATAATAGTACGCTACATCTAACAACCCGTTTTCATGAGAGGGGGGGGGGGGAGAATGACGGAAAGGAACTTTCCTTCCCACTCATCTCATTTTTAGGCGATAGATTTGGAAGGAAAAATGTTATACTTTCCTTCTATTCCTCCCCCCTTCCCATGAAATCAACTAACTAATTCACTACCAATTTATGACATTAACCAAATAAAAAATGATCATACAAACATATTTAGAGGCTTAGTTGTTGGGATTTGTTAATTTTATGTCTTCACATGTGTTCTAGTATCTCTTAATCTGTGTTTAAACCCCAAATAGGTTTGTTGCGTAAACGAGTACTATAAATTCGCATCAAAACTTGTAATATTCCGATGATCATGGTAAAAAAAAGCCTATGGATCCCATCAATCATAGTAGTCATCATTGTTATATATTTTTAGTATAATAGTTAACTTCAATTTGTGAATCATTTCGACACAATAATGTTTATTTTACATAATCATAAGGTGGTTATAATTATAACTTGTATATCATAATGGGTGAAAGTAGTGCATATGGTGTAATTTTATAAATTGTTAATAATTATTTTATTTTGGTGGATAAGTTTTTATGGTTTATGGTTTTTGTAAGTATTTTAATACCAAAAATTATGGTGATTAAGGAATGGAGCTGTGGAGAGTTTAAAGGTTCATTCGGGGAGATAAATATAGAGCCAGAAATACAAGCAGATGGAGCATACTCCATAGAGCTCAAGTGTTCACCTTCCATCCTTAATCATGCGGTTGATAGGATCAACACCTTTTCTATAACGGATCAGATCCTCTTTCTACTAGCTCTTTCTATGCTATATTGTTTACTTTCCTTTTTACTTTCTTAGATTTATGCACAAACTAAAATATTTCTATTTTTGGACATTTTCTTTCTACTGCAACATCTCTCTCTCTCTCTCTCTCTCTCTCTATATATATATATATATATATATATATATATATATATATATATATATATAGTATATCATAATGCATGGATAATTATACAAATTCTTAAAACATAAAGTGATTAAGACATTGTATTAAGAATAAGGAAAGATCTTACCTATTAATTTTAAATTGGATGTTGTAGATGATGATAATAATCAACCAATCAAAATCCACCTTTGAATAATAAAACTATATCAAGTACTATGTTGAATTTATTGATGTTTTATTTCATTGTACAACATTTAGAGCTTCCACAAATTCACACAAGAAGAACATGGCAATGCCACACATCAAAAGACTCTAAAATCATTTGAATTTTGAATTGCATATCACCTTTTTCCCATTCTTTATAAAATCTAGATTATCTTCCTCTATCACTCTAAAAGCCTTAATTCATCCCACCATGAAACCAACCACCAACACCACTATCCACTTTGTTGGTGATTTTAGCATTATCAATATATTTTAGTGTGGTATTTATTCATATTAAGAAAGTTTGATTTCTCTTTACTCATCGAGGCAGGAGGTGTGGGGTGCATACACAGAGTGATAAAAGTAAACTCTAGAATACGATGGTTCTGAGACAATGCCCCTGGGTATAGGGTTTCAAGGGGAAGTGCCTCTGGCGAGGTCTAGGGGCAGTGTCTCTTATGGGGTCCAAGGGGAAGAGCCTCTAGCGGTTCTAATAATCATTATGATGTAAGAATCAGTTATGTCTCATATATAACGACCTTTCTATCTATCATTTTTTGCTCCAAAATGGATGCAACCATTTTTAACCAACTTTCTCTCCTATATAAGAACATAGACAATGTTCCAGAAAAGGGTTGGATTCTCCATATTTGAAAATTGATCATCTGATTCTATCTATCTCTCAAAACACAAAATAGCAAGGTACTATCTGTGTGTAACGTCCCGATTTTCAAAATAAATTTTTCATTTTTATTTATTAAAATATATTAGAGTATAATTACATTATGCGGAAAACATGATGCGAATGCGCGGTTTCGAGTATTGCCCTTCTCTTGATCCGAAGGAGTACCTAAAAACATTTATAATTAACTGGTAAGCACAAAGTTTAGTGAGTTCCCTAAAATACAATATACCACAATACATATACAATCCATACACATAATGGCTCATGACCTTTCACATATCCACCAATAATACACATAATGGCCTTCAACATAAAGCTTGTCCGCCCCTTGTCCTTCAACACAAAGTTGGCCCGCCCCATTAGCCTTCAGCACAAAGCTGGTCCGCCCGAGTATATTGGCCTTTAGCACGAGGCTGGTCCACCGTCAACTCTCACATAATAATATATCAACACACAATCAGACACACATATACACACACACACACACACACACATATATATATATATATATATATATATATATATATATATATAGAGAGAGAGAGAGAGAGAAAGGACAAACAGTCCAACACGACAAGAAACTAACTAAGCTAGTCCAATGGCCTAATTGCACACTAAAGGGCTACTACATCCTTGTTGGATTAAGGTGTATAAGCCCAAAACTAAATTGGTATGACTTGTAAGTAGACGCGAAATCTTTTTTGGGTTGCCTTCATAACTAGTAACTGAATAGAATAACATTTTGAGAGAGATGTTGATTTATTATATGATTAATAAATTGTAATAAATGGTGACTCTACTGCTTCTCAAAACTCCACCCAAAGCTCTAACTTCACTCTCTTGTCGATTATGTCAAAAGAGAAGCTCATTGGTCCAAACTATATGGACTTATGAGAAATTTGAAGATGAATATTCGATACGACAACAAGGAATATGCTCTCGAAAAGCCTCTGGTTGAAAACATTTAATCCATTGCTACTCCTGAAGAAATAGATGCTTTCAACAAGCATTCTGATGACGCCATGAAAGTTGCTTGCATCCTAAAAATCAACGTAAGTTTTTTCATTTTTCATTTTTCAAAACAACCCCAAGACAATAAATGTTTAAAAAACCATTGTTTCAAAAGTATAAATCATAATTAGAGTATTCCCAAAATCCAAATAACATAAATCCAAAGGATGTGCACGATCACGCCTTTGCCTTGCCACGATCATCTGAAGTACCTGAAACAACAACTAAAACTGTAGGCCAAAGCTTAGTGAGTTCCACTAAAGTACCACCACACAACATAACATATACAAACAAGCATTCTAGGTCCAATCATTCATCTGACTAGAATACCCCGGGGTCTACAACAATCGAGATGGATTACCCCTGGCCCAATCAGTCATCGGACTGGAATGCCAATATGCAACGGGTCCACTCATATATCGGACTGGAATACCCTCGGGTCCACAACCATCGAGATGGATTACCCCCGGTCTGTTGACTCACGCACATAGCATTAAAGCCTCAACTCAAAACCATAACATGTCGACATATACATAACAGATAAACATATAACCAGTCAACAGACAAACAAGCAAATCTACACATCACTACCGCATATCAACATCCTATAAATTAGAACACAGAAGTAACAAATCACTACAACATAACATCCTATATACTACGATACATATCTAACATATCACTACAACATAACAATATCCTCTATACCAGGATATACAATCTAGTGGGCCCGCATTCATGCCTTCGACCCACAAGTACAGTGAGGGAAACTCACTTGAATCGAAGAATTCTGAAACATTTCGATACGATCCCCTTTTAAGCACTGCTTGCACCCGCGAATCCGCTAATCACTAAAACCAGGTAGAATCTTAACCAATAGCCCAAAACCCCCAAGTTTGACCTAAATTCAAACTTGGTCAAAGAGTCAATGGTTAATGGTTAACAGACCCTCACGACGTGACCATCCATGGCTCACGTCGTGAGCCACTACAGGACAAAATAATCGAGTCTTACAACCCTCACGACGTGACATTCATCTCCTCATCTCATGAGATTCGTCTGAGTGTCATTTGATCCAAAAACATCTTAATCCATTAAGTTACTAATCCATCTCTTCCAGGAGGCTTCCTAACACTCCTAGAATCATAAAACCGATGCTTTAAGGTCTTGTATGTCCAATATAAGACTTGAGCTCAAACTAGGTCATTTATGAAGAAAAATAAGTTAGGTTCTCAAGCATGGACTAAAATATCCTCTAAACTTCATATCCATAAGATATAAGCACCAAGGGACCCTTAGACCAATAAAGTTGCCAACTTTATGGAGTCCCAACACTCTAACTCTTAAACCGTGGCAAAAAATGCATACAAACTTAGATCTAGCAACAATGAAACATAAAGTTTGGATCTTGGTTACTCACAATGGTCCAGAAGTGTAGCTAGAGGTTGCAAATGGAACTTCCATGCTGAAACTATGCCTCAATGGTGATCTCTTCTTCTCCAAGCCACCAAAACTCCACCAAAATCTCAAGAATCACAATGAGAGGCTAGGGTTAAGGTTTTACTAAGCTTAGGGACGAAGGAGGCTATTTTTGGAACCCTAAAATGAAGTTTATGGAGTTTAAGTACAAAGGAAACCCTAAATGATCATGGGCTTGGGTTGCAGCGCATCTCACGTCGTGAGCTCGTAATCCTCAGGTCGTGAGCTCAGTTTAAATTAGAATCTTAGTTGATCACTACTCACGTCGTGACCTCTCTATAGTCATGTCGTGAGCCATGGTTTTACCCAAAAACCATTATGTTGACTTCTCGAAGCCCTAAATTGATCCGATCAAGAAACCAGGTGTTACAATTCTCCCTCACTTAAATAAGACTTTGTCCTCGAAGTCACTCCTTACCACTCTTCAGACATACCCGAAAATTTGGACAATTCTTCCACGACGCCGCTCTGAACTGTGAATTCGACTCCCACAAGCGGCTGCCTTCGCATACAACAATCAAAACCCAGTCTAAGAAGAACTACATACCCTGGCTAATAATGAATTCTTGACCCACTATCTTTAACCTTTGAAGAATAAACATTACTACTCTACCCGAAATCCAGAAATCCAAAGCCTTGACTGGCTATCTACTGCCGTTAAACCCTCCGCCCAACATGAGTCTCTACAAGAAAGTCGTTGTAGAGAAAAAGACACACACACACCGCTGACATTTTCGACAACTCCCTTTAACCACTTCAAAGTCAAGGCTCCATATAAAGAAAACTCGAGAAACCACTCGGAAACCTGCAGCTACGAACAAACAACCCAATAACTTGAAAATGCTCAACTGCAACCAGAACTGTAAGACACAACGTCCAGAGAGAACCACTCATACTGGGAGCTCTCAAAACTACAACCACAAATCAAATCCATCAATATAATTATATGAGTCGGGAACCCATCAGTCTAAACTTCAGAAACCATAGCCTAATACCGATGTTCACCCATATGATGTACATACTCTTAGTCCCTGACTGGGAAGACCACCAATTCATGCAGAAAGAATACTTAGAAGACACCGATCGTGAATTTCCAACAAATCCTCAAATCCGGAAGTTTTTCCCAAAAACCTTAAATACACACTTGACTTCCTGACAATTCATCACCAACCCACTGCTCCCACGAGCATAATGATGGTCCATCCAAGATTTTCACGTTGCATCCTTATCCCTTATCAACTCAGGTGTACCACCACCTGACAGATCACTCGAGACATTTATAATGAACTTTGTGAATCGAGATTTCAGAACAAATACCTACCACTGGTAACCAAACTTCTAATAAACAACCTACAAGGAAACAAGATCCACCATTGCAAACATTCATCAAGCGACTTCTGATGCACAAACAATACGTCAACCAAACAAACTTTTACTGACCACATGATCCATACCAGTTGGTTCCTGTGTATCCCGACTCCCAATAATGCGCTAAGATCCAAAGTACTACACGCGGAAGATAAACAAACATGATCAAGAGG